AAGAATATTCTTTTTCTTGATTCATTGATATTATCTAAAATGGATGCTGTCATATGGTTATGTTTATGGAAAGTAAAAAGGACTTGTTTCGTAGTACACTTAATTAGAACCGAATTGTAAAAACAATTGCAAAAGCTAAGCTGGCAATTGTTTCCTTTGTAATAAAAAATATTCAAGAAAGACAAAAAGAAGCATTTTGTTTTAGATCAGAGGAGGGAAATACCAGGATTTCCTTCCAAACTAGCTGTTTTTTGTAAGGGAGATAGTCGAGAATATGTATTTCTCTTTTGGAAGACAGTCATACATGTATGGCAATTAAACAAACTGGAAAACAGTTCTTTGTGTATAGCTTCTGGCTATAGTCCTAGCCCACCTTGCATATAAATTCCCAAATGGACTCTATGATCCAATATAAACACGTACATTGATCTGTTGATGTGGCTAATTACAAATTTAATATTACTGCTTGTCAACATGTTGCATATTAAAGGTTTTAATTCTTGTTTTTATTTGTATATAATGATTATGGGTTTCCCTTTCCTACCGTCATCATTCACCTCCCTCACTATCACCCAACAATATCATTAAATAGAGCTATGCTCTTTGGGGAACTCATTTGAACATTTTCTCTAATATTTGACTTTCAGCTAGTACTTGGTTCAATTTTTGATTGCATATTTTTTTGCTGTTACCCTGATATATTACTGATCTTGTGGCACCATAGAAACATAAAACAAAAAATATATTATAAACTCTTAATCTGTAATAAAATTGTCCTTCCACACCAAAGATTATGCTATATACACACTCACATTGGAATTTGCTCTAGATAAGGGAAGGTTAAGGGAAAACATTATGTTTTCTTTAAATTAAAATGAAAGGAAACAGTACTTTAAATTAAAATGAAAGAAAAAGGCAATGAATGAAGAATAAGAAAGAAAAAAATGGACTAAATGGAAAGCAGGACAAATAAGAGGCATTCATTTTTTAAAATGCATTGTTTTATTCTTAGCAATCTCCTCATCTCAAATTTTTCAAGTTTCTCAAAGGTCTTTTTCCAAGGAGACCCATTTTTGTTGCAGATTTGTTCTAAGGACGTTTATTTATTTATTTATTTATTTATTTATTTATTTATTTATTTCTGTATTTCCTTCCTTCCTTCCTTCCTTCTTTCCCTTCCCTTCCCTTCCCTTCCCATCCTTCCTGGTTTTCTCTTTTATTTCCATATGGCCTCATTTAAGGTAAATTCTTTGCAATTTGCCTAAGCTAGGTCCATTGCGCTATTAACATGCAGATGTTAACAGCACAGATATAGGAAAAATAGCACCTTGGCAGCCTGAAGTTAAAATTCCAGGCTGATTATTAGGGTTAGGGGTTGTGAGGTTTTCAGTGCTCTCCCTCCCTCTCCCCCCTCTCTTTTCTGCCCCCTTTGTTATCTGCAAGAAAATAAAAGAGTTTTTCCTGGGGTGTGAGTTTAGGGAGACCTTTCATTTCAAGCTCATCAGAGATTGATAAACCAAAACAGTCAAGGGCATGTGAGCGTTTTTATGTGTGAGTGAGTCTCTCTCTCTCTCTCTCTCTCTCTCTCTCTCACACACACACACACACACACCCACACACACCCACACACACACAGAGACACACACAAGCGGGCAAACAAAAACACTACTTCTCATGTCCCAGTCAGAAATCATTGTTCCCATTTCTCTACTGACTCTATGTAAACATAATAAATGAAGACTTTTAAGGAGAACTAATCCTTCAAACAAACAAAAAAAAAAACCTTCCCAAATTACACTATGCTCCCTGAACCACTCCTAGATTAAGGAGTCTGAAGCTCTCCTTCTCCCCTCTCCAAGGCCTGACTCTTTTAACTTGCTTTTATCTAATTTATCACTGACACTTAAACAACACATTCAAATAAGGAATCTGCACCCCTTCCCTCCTCTCTTCTTTTCTCCAAATCGTTCATCCCTCCCTTAACTTTTTTTCCCCCTTCTGGAAATAATGTCTCTGACATTTATTAAACAAAGATAAAGAAACAGAAAATGTTTCCTCCCCAAAGTGGTCGTATAACTAACAGACAGTTCTGGAAATTTATTTACTGACTGCCCACATAGAATGAAATCTCCTATTAATCTACTCCTCAGCGTGTATCCAAATTGTGATTAATAATCAAACCCACAAAGTAACATGAAGAGGTGAGGGCCTTCTTGAGATAGCAAAGCACTTTTCTGTAGCATCTCATCATATCGATAGGCTCCAAGTCCTCTTTTTTCCTGTTTCTTTGGCTATCAGAAAGAGCGCTTGCATTTGAGGCCATAACCTGACTGCTAAACTCATTGCATGAAATGGGAAAGCCTCCTTTTGTGGAATGCGGTTGTAAAATGTAATTTGTGGCCAGGCTTGAAGTTTTGCTGCAGGCGGGTTAACATTTAATCACATCTCACAGTTCTAGTCTTTTTATTTTCAAGATGTTCGAAAGCAGAATATAATAAGAGTATGAATTTCTTCAGTTAGGATTGGGAAAGTGTTTTGGACGGTTCGCAGCTCAAAAAACCTTGTTGTGGATGGTAGATTTGGATTATACACTTTTCTTTGGAAAGCTAGATTTCAGAACTTTTTGAAATGAAGTTGACGTTTTCAAAACACATAACTATTGTCCTTGCAAACAAAGTAAACCAAATTAATATTTACATCCTTTTACTATTTATACCGATAGTAAAAACCACTAATATTTGTACACAATAATCTAATACTATTCTCTAATATTAGATTAAATATAACAATTGTTAGTATTTATATAATACATTTCATGTGTTCAGAGTACCTCATATTGATAAGTTTATGTATGTTAAGTATGTTTTGTTTAAACTTAGCTTATTGAATAAGTTATAGTTGGTAATGTTCATACCACATAATAACCAAAACCAATGAAGCCATGTTATAATTCAGTGTGATATGTGAAGTTGCCCATGATCTTAATCATCCTTACTTTGTAACACAGATTCATATTCATCCAATAATGTAAGTAGGGATTTGGGGCAAAATAGAGAAGGCAATAGCTTTCCAAAATACTGGGATACAAATGTCTGCTTTCAAACCCTAATACTGTAAATATTGATTTCCTATTTCTCCAACATGTTGCAGCCCCACCTGTCCAAACTGCCTTTTCCCCTATTGAGAACAAATGTCCTTTGAATCCTGTGGGGAAGGAAAAAGCTGCTTGATGACCAGGGAGTGACAAGGCCTGTGGATAATGAGGTGATGAAGCAGTTCCCATGTTTTTCTCGAATCAGCTTAAAATAAAATTTTAAAAAAACCAGCACTTCCGTTATAATTGATAAAATGAATTTCCTCCAGCTGAACAAATGGTATCCTGACATGTATTCTGCTCTTGAATTTTCAACATATTCTTCTACACTATTTGGATCACTTGACTGGTAGATTTTAGGCTTCTATTTAAAAAGAGTAGATCTTAAAGATCTAGCTCCCTTTTTAGCTTAGCTTACCGTGTTTCTTTTAAATAAAAAAAAAACTTAAAAGATGTGAAAATTGTTCTACAAGGATTCAGAACTTTCAAAAATATTTCCTATATAATTGGGAGTAGAAATCAGGTGGATATGTTTATAAATTTCCATGTAATTATTTCATTTCTCTTCTGCAACATTTACAATGCTATAAAAAACAACAACAAAGTATAAAAAAGACTTAGGAAATGCCTAAGTCTGCTATATTCCCATTTTGAGAAAAGCCTCTTTTTATAAGGAAGAACCTCCTTCATACAGCAGTTCAACCTAACAGTTCTAAATAGATTGAGAACTATAGTTATCAGTCAGAGGTAAAGATTATCCCTTCTTTTAACAATTGGGGGTCAAAGAATATTGAAATACTGAAGCCAAAATTACAGTAAGCTAATTTAGTTAGTAAAGTAAAGATACTTAGATCTCTCTTTTTCTCTCTTGATGATATTTTGCTTCACTGCAAAATGAATTTAAAAAATAGGAATGTACATTTGATCCGAAATGATCTTAGCCCACTTCCTTCTATGCTAAGGATGCAATTCTAACTAATTTACTGAAGTTTATTTCAGAGTAAATATGCAAATTGCTTTATTAGACCCCCCCCCCAAATGCAATGCGCATGCAGGCCCCCTGCATGCACCACAAACCTCATGCAAGCTTCTGTGGCCTCCTGCATGTGCCCCGCCTCTATGCATGCATGCGCAGCCCCTGCATGCACCCTGTGCATGCGCAGCAAGGACCCGAAGACCAGCTGGCCAGCAGGAGGCTCACGCACATGCGCAGCGGAGCTAAACTGGGGTGACGGCTTGCATGCCATCACAGATGCCATAGGTTCGCCATCACGGGCTTAGCATCTTTTATAAATGCAGCCTATACATGTATGTAAACTATAGGCCCCAAAATTGTCCAATGAACTTCGCAACTGTATAGGAAGTCTGAATCAATTTCCTCTAGCTCCCAATCTACTAAGAATTCACTGAGATATTGCATTAAGCTAAAATGAGGCGGAGCTTTGTTTGCCTAATTGAGGCATTACAAGTCCTCCATCCTTATTGCATGCAGTGTTGAATAAACCCAGCTAATTCAATACACTAAGGGTGGCTCAGTGGCTAAGATGCTGAGCTTGTGGATCGAAAGATTGGCAGTTCAGCAGTTCTAATCCCTAGTGCTGCATAACGGGGTGAGCTACTGTTTCTTGTCCCAGCTTCTGCCAACGTAGCAGTTCGAAAGCACGCAAAAAACTCAAGTAGAAAAATAGGGACCACCTTTGTTGGGAAGATAACAGCGTTCCGTGCGGCTTTGGCATTTAGTCATGCCGTCCATGTGACCATGGAGACGTCTTCAGACAGCGTCGGCTCTTTGGCTTTGAAACGGAGATGAGCACCACCCCCTAGAGTCAGGAACGACTAGCACAATATGTTCGAGGGAAATCTTTACCTTTAATTCAATACATGTTGACTAAGTCATACACTAGCATGACTTTTAATATAGTTTTTATTGACTTGGAATCTTCAAATTGCTATGCTACATCAGAATTATGAGAATTCTACACATTTTAGAAGATACCAAATTGAAGAAATCTATACATTGAATTGTTTTCACAGAGGCTTACATGCTATTGTTATAATGATGTGGCATACTTTTTCTCCCCTTTGGGCTCACTATAAACATCAGGTTCCTTGTATTGTCATTTCTTATAGTTTCCAGAAAACAAAACAATCTGATGCACATTTTACTTATCTAGAGTAACTGCATTTTATTTTTAGCTCCTTAAAATATATAAAGAAACAGGCTAGTCCCAAATTCAGTTCACTAGTTATTTTGCAACAAGACACAGAATTGGAAATAGCACAACTGAACATATCTAAATAGCAGGTTGTAGCACTGGTAGTAAAGAACAGCCAAGTTCGATTCTTTGCAACAAACAGACAAAAGTATTACCAAAGTAATGGAACCATTGTTTTTAATAAAAAGAATGCTAAAAAAAACCAAATCCTGTTTAGTATTTACAGGGCAGAACTTTGGAAATTGGAACTCTTCTAATATGCTGCAAAAGTGAGAAGTAAGAGGTTGATTATATCATTAAATGTTGGAAAACAATATGAAAATATTCATCTTCTACATAATGAATTTGGAATATTCTTGACCACATAAGAACTACAAATGTTCAGTTCAATTCAGTTCAATATTCTTGACCACTTAAGGACTACAAATGTTCAATTCAATTCAGTTCAATACAAACAAGTTTCTTATCAGTACCAAATATTATGCTGCCCCAAAATACATTTAATGTTGCTTGAAATATGAAAGCTTAGTCTAACATTCATGTTTTCCACAAATAAAACAGAGTTGAATATAACTTTAGAGACACTTAAATTATAATCCCAGGATCAATGAAAGAACTTTATAATACCTAGGTTTAATTCCACTGGTTTCAGAAAGCCTAATTTAACTAAGATTTCAGTCTTGATCCAGCAATCATTTTAGTTGTTTTATATCTACAGCAAAAAGTGGAATTACTAACTTAACACACACACACACAAATCCTTCTGTAGCCTGATATAATCAATGTCTCTATTTTAAAAAGTCGAATACACACTTATTTTGGTTGTTGTTTAAAAATACATTTTTTATTTATTTTATTTACTTAGGGTTCCAGATTGCACGGTGGAGGTTATACAGTATATACAACTTAAATTCATTTACATAAAGCCCACCTTTATTCCCTTTCTTTTCCAGCCAGCTTGAAGGAGATGACAAAGAAAAATATTCTTTTTTCTTGTGTACAACCTTCCAGTAACAAGGAATATTTCAGTAGTGTTGTATTACAGTTTCCATCATAACCAGTTGTCCAACATTTCTGTATCCGAATAAAGGTGAAAACGCTAGTTCATTGTGCTTTTGTTTTGTTAGCTGTGTTCCAAGACAAACCTCTCTCACTTCTTCCTAAACACAGTCAAAAGGGAGAATCAATTTTTAAGGAAAAATAGTTTATTGGAAAAAATAGTTTCTACTCTTCTTAAAATTTACCTGTTTCTAGTTCATAGGATTCAGAGAATTATGTTTGGGAACTTTCCAATGAAATTTACACCCATCGATGTAAATTCTTTCAAATTCAGATACAACCAACTGGAATTAGAGCAATTCACAGGATGCTATTTTATTTGTAGTACTGATCATTTCCTTTCTTCAGACATGCAGAAATGTAAATATCTTTACATTTCAACTTCAGAGGAGAAAGGGGGACTTGCTATGAAGATGTATGCTTCCTCTTCCCCCTAACCACTCAACCTCACCTCCCTCCCTTCCACATTCTTACAAGCTTCCTTCAAGTTTATTTTCCCATATTTTTCTTGAGCGGCTTCAAGTGATTTAAATGAAAGCAGAAGTTTGTTTTACCTTATTCTATCTAGCCAGCTATGAAAAGCAACTGGAAAAGATATGTGTAAATCTTCTAATCAACTCTGTTGGAATCTTTCCTCTGCAATGAAAAAATCCCTGGAAAAGAAACCCTCCAAACCCGAGTTTTTACAATCTGAAAGAACTTTACAATAAGTAGTTGTTTTCCTCTCCCCTTGATTGAGAAAGTTTTCCATTATAAAAGGTTGGCTGACTCAACAGTACTACCAATCTTGATAAATCCTTCCCTTCCCCCCCCCCCCGTCTTGTGCCGATTTGGAATACCCCCATTACAGGCCAATGTGAATTCTAAAGTGATTGTCCTCCTCTAAAAGGATCTATGTAATGGAAGGGGCTTGTTCCCAAGAGAAAGCTTTCATTTACTGTACTTGGGTCCAAACATCAGTGAGCAGTCTACCCTATGACTTCTACTATGGAAAAAGTTCATCTTAAACTAAAGAACTCTTTGCTGGAAATGTGTGACCTGAATTATTAACAATGCTTCCTCCTTTTTTTTATCTGAAAAACATGTTTTCCCTTTGTTAATTTATGTTAATCTCAACCAAATATCAGTTTCCTTACTCTCTGCATATGATTATTTTTTTATGGTAGAAAGGATACATAAGGATAGAAAGAAATTTCTCATAGGATTACAGCGTTGTTCTAAGGTTTGTTGGATGCATATCATTTTCCACAATATCTCAACAATGTAGGTATTGACCCCACAATAGTTTCATTTGTTAATCTTGCATAATAAAGCTTTACTTTATGCCTCTTATTTTGCGGCATATTTTCCAGCAAAAATCTGGGGCCATATTGCCAGCAGTTTGGAAGAAACTAAACGTGTATATTCGAATTTAAGATGGCATTCAATCATGTTTAGAAATGTTTCACTGAAAGCAGCAAGTCAGTGCATATCACAGACACTCAGAATCATGCTAGATGATTTGAAAATATTCCTTTGAACTCCAGACGACCTCTTTAAAATATATTTATTTCCTGGGATTAAAAAGTCCAATTCAACAATGCAACTCTGGAATTTCAGCAAGAAAGGCCTCTAATTATCCATGTTTACATCCATCAGGTTGCACTATCCAATACAAAATATATCCTTACTTTCAACTCATTTAGTTGAACAAGATTGATAATTGACTTCTCCAAGTTTTCAAACTGATTTAAAAGAAATAAGCCTTTCAAACCAAACCTTTTGGAACCTGATCTATAAGACAAACTGGAATATTTTTTTAAAAGTCTCTAGAAGAACGAAAAGTTAAATCACTTCTGTATATCAAATATGTCACTAGGAATCAAGCTTAGATCAAGGCAAGCCTCGTCTTTTACTCCATGGTAAATGTATTGAATATGCGATTGTAGCTTCACCTGGCTAACTTAAATCTAACTTTTAATGCCTCTCTAGATAGTGCTTCTTTTTAAGATCTATGTGCCTGAAATAAATACCATAATAGCAGGGGTGAAATTCAGCAGGTTCTGACAGGTTCTGGAGAACCGGTAGCAGAAATTTTGAGTAGTTCGGAGAACCAACAAATACCACCTCTGTCTGGCCCCAGAGTGGGGAGGGAATGGGAATTTTGCAGTATCCTTCCCCTGCCACGCCCACCAAGCCACACCCACAGAACCAGTAGTAAAAATTGGATTTCACCACTGCATAACAGTATGGCTGAAATCACACCTAACCCTGAATCAGGATTTGTAGATCTATCTGTGGGTTCTTGGCTTGCAGATGTTATAAGCTATTATGTATGGCTTCATATATAATTCTAAATCCAAAACTAACCAACCATACTTTAGCAGAACATTGCATGGGAATCACACTAATGTCCACTTTTGAAAACAAGCTTTAAAGTTTAACTTTAAAAAATTCCCTGTCTCTCTATAAGGAAGTGTTTACATGCATGATATTAAAAGTTTTGAAACTTTATATTTCTGTTGTAATTGTGAGGGCCTACTGGCTTGAATGTACAACTGATTGGAAAATATATTTTTCACATTCTATGAAAAAATGTACTAGTATTTACACATGCACACAAGGGAATGTGATTTCATAAAATATTATAAATCACTTTTCCTTCATACCATAAATGGTATCTATTTGTAGAAAAATTGTCATTGCTGTAAAGATGACTGATCCGAGGTATCATGCAAGGAGATCAAAATCTAGTTGTTGTGGTTTTCTTCACATCAATTGAATTTGACTATCCCAGACAATTTTGAAAAACATGCCAATAATTCACTGAGTAGCCTGAGTATTTTGAATGCAGTATCAAAACATGACATTAGAGACAAAGGATTTTCATACACAACTCTGAAGTTCCCTGGAGCCTCCCTTGCAATACATGTGAATGCTGTGAAGGTAAAATAGAAAAACAGAGCCAGAGTTAAACCCACTATGTGTGTTAAGAAATGTGGGATTATATCTGCATTATACTTACAAGATCAAATGTACATTCTGTGTCATGAGTGAAAATATTCCTATTGATGCTCTGAACATCCATTGTGAATGCAGTCTAAGCTGATACATCACAATGATTTATACACCTACAGCCACACAAATCTCACACATAAAGCAGTTCCATTCTACTCAAAATAAAGAACTTGATTACCTGCAAAACCTGTCCTCACATACATTTGAGTGGAAGAATCATTTAATTTTACAATATTGTGGTGTGTTTGGGTATCTATGTAATTGTTTCTTTCCTGGCAATGCATAGGTGCAGCCTTATACATGTACTGTAAACCACATAAGCAACAAGACATATACATCCACAATATTTAGAGAGTTAGACTATCCTATACTGTAATCAACAAAGGTTTCTCATAAAGTACTGAAAAACCAGCATAACAATTCTGCAGCATGTTTATAGAAAGATCAGTCCCCAGATTCAGTCAGACTAACTCACCTGAGTGTGCAATTTCAATATTATTTTCATTGTTTGAAAATGTATTCTTCACATTAATTCATACATGATTTTTCTATTCCTAGTATTTGTATTCGTGTGACATACAGAGTTCTACCTGACATGTACAAACAAGTGTGAATACCACTACATCATGTTTGCATGTCTTAAGGGGCATTTTCATTTTTAAGAACCATGAACTAGCAACTGTATCAGCATTTCAGCACAAAAGGGAAGGATCTCCACTGAAATGATTGGGAACAATTCAGCTCCAAATCATTTGCTAGAGGTTTATGTGACAGAACATGCTAGTAGCTTTTACACAGAATAGAATGAATGTGGGAAGCTGAATAGGTTGACTGAGAAGCAGAGGTGAGATTATTTTGGTTTAATATATAAAATGATTTTTTTCCCTGCTGATTGTCCTTGCCTCTTTTTTATTTACTACTTTTCTAATATTTTAATAAGGATGGTAAGTTTATTTTATGTAAAGAAGGAGTGGGGTGAGAAGCATTGCAACTCAACTCTGATCCATAGAACCAGAAGGCAGTTTATATAACACAGTACTGCCTCAGAAAAGTAATACAAGCTTGGTTGTATTAGAGAGGGAACAAGTATGCCTTGCACCATGGGGGTGCAATTTCTTTCTCTGTCTCATACTCACACCCACATATCCACACCTCTCTTCAGCAGCAATACCCTACAACAGATGGGTCCTTCAGACTTATTCCCGAAAACAGAAACTGGATTATGGTGCAAATATGAGATTGGAAGCAGCTTCCTTTCCCCATTTTAACCAATTCTTCATAGATTATTTTAGATCTCTTTTTTCTTTTTATTTGTGTGGCTCCTATATGCAAAGCTCAGTGAGAAGTTCAGGAGAGAAACTGAAGAGGTATGTCAATATTTGGCTTCCATCAAAATCCACATTCCTATGAATAGTCAGCCTGCAACTAATGCTGCATCCTGCTTGGCAAACACAGGGACTCCCTCCTTTATCCTAAGCAAAACTGAACTTATATTTTGAACACCGAAATAAATGACTGGGCTGGGTGAGTGGGGTTTGCAAGTGAAGACAACTGCAAAAAAAAAATTCTTTCTCCTTTGCTTTCTTTCATATTCTTCCTTGGTCGCTTTTCTAATCCATCATGAAAGAATTCTAAAGACAATGATCTAGATGTTTTTTTCCTGAAAACTTGTGTCATTTATATTCTTGTATATTTTAGCAAAACTAATTCATACCAAATAAATGCTCAAAACTGGGGGAAGGGGGAGAGAGAAAGGGGGAGAGAGGGAGGGAGGGAGAGAGAGAGCGAGCTGCCAGCCAGGAAATTCTTAATTCAGCTCTTTCACACAAAGCCTTAAGTTATGTAATGCCCCCAGGAACAACCAGGTTTTCTCATTCTTTCTTTGTTGCTTTCAAATATTTGGGACTCACACAATTCAATGGACAGCTCTTCTGCATAAACACAATGAATGGGAACTGCATAAGGACACTGCATTGCCCGATTTTTGAAAAAAAAACCAAACAGAATATCTCCCTTTCTTCACTGAGAACAATTTTGACAATAAAACATCTCCCACTTAACAAAAATGCAGGCTTATAAGGTGAACAAAACTAACCCAATAATCCTAAGCTTTATTTAGAAATAAGATTCTGTTGAGATCAATCCTTCTTACTCCCAAGTAAAAGAGAATACAGTATAACCACAACCTTTTAAAAAAAGTGTAATTTAGCTGCAAAATTTAAATACCGTATAATTACCAAAATGGGGAATAGCAGAATTTGCAGTGTGGGATTTTTGTTATTGTGTTCTGGATGAGAGTCTTATTTTTTAAAATTATACACATTTTCTATACATTCCATATTTGGTTTGTTTCATTGTTGCACTTAGAAATCAATTTGTAAAATTCAAAGTGCTGGAATTTCTATATAAAATCTGGCATTCCAATCAATTCATTCCACCCAGTCATCCCCAATAAGATTTTGTCCCCTTCTTCCGGAAAACCTATTTTAATAATAGATGCAGATAAATATTGGTATCTAATTCCTAAATATGTTACTGTTTGGCTGCACAATTGGGAATAAAGTCAGTTGATGCATAGCTTACTTATAGATAAAATCATGTAGACTTAAGGGTTTAAGGTCCAGTAATTCCTAGAAGGACTTACCTCCTAATTAAATTTGTTTTGCACTTTTAAACAATGTTTTTGCTTGTGGTCTTTATGGATTGTGTAGCAAGGCCAGATCTATTTACGGGCAACTGAACTCTTTCTTCCCTGAGATAAGATTTTGAAACTGAAGATATATATATATATCTTACAGTCATAGAGGTTGTCTACTCTCAGAAATGAAGATTTCAATTTGAATTTGAGTTTGGTGATTTGAGTTTGGTGACACAGAGAAATCTTGGAAGACAAAGGGGTATATTACACATGAAACAATAAAGAACTATTTGCATGAGAGAAAGAGATCACTTGTTTTCTGTGGCAAAGACAAAAGAATTCCTCTTTTCTACATTTCACTTTGGAGATCAAATTGTCCATCTGTATTTCATTCAAATTTACCCCTGGATCCAATTTATTCTTTCCAGCAAATGTTTAAATAAACAGAATATTACTTTGGGCTACTAATGTCAGGGATCTATTAACCAATATACAATTGCTTGAAAAGATGCAAAAATTTAAAGAACTTTTTTCCCTTCATGCAGGAAAGATAAGGACATTTTGCTTCTACTTTTGTTTAAAATAATTTTGCCCTGTTTTTCTTTATTGAAAGAGAAGAAGAAAAAGCCTACTGTGGAGACCTTTCTTTCTTCTTCTCAAAGTTCTGGTATTGGGGATAAAGTAGTCAGATTGGCTTTGCTTAAGTTTTAATCAGGAAGTGAATGGAATGGGGAGGGGAGTGATCCTTTGATGAGTTTAATGTGCTGCAGTTGAAAGGCCATTCCATTTCTCTTCCAAATTAAGGAAGAAAGTTGGGGGCTGGGAAGAAAGCATACTTTTAACTTTGCTAATGGGGGAGGGGGAGAAGAGAAGGGTCTTTCACTTGGAGAGGGGAGGGGAGCCTTGTCCAGAAACTTTCTCATTCCCTACAACACACCCCCAGAGCTTTTCCAAATTTCGCAGCATGGAACAAACCACTGCATGTTAAAAGGAAAGGAGACCAGATTTTCTCCAAAAGGCCTGTATCTTTTTTTTTTAATTATTGTTATTGCAGCTCCCTACGATATAAATGTGCAACATGAACAAAAACACTGTATCCCCAACTAAAGCATAGAAGTTAGCTATTTATACTCAACTTTATTTTCAAGTTACTTACTTTTATTCTCAACATTTCTTTTTAATCATTTATTTTGGCTCCCTATAATCATTGTCAAGTAAGATTTAAATTTCTATAGTTTTAAAGGTGTGCAATTTTATTAAGAATTACTGATTGGATGGGCTCTTTAAAACAAAGCCACTGGTATAAATAAAGGAATGTCAGAAATGCCAAGAGATGGAGATTTTCAGGATTCTTTAAAAAAAAAAACTTGAGCTATTTGGGAATCAAATATCCATTCTTCTTTTGAAAACTTTCAGGCTTCAAACTTACAGCCACTTATACACATAATTAAATCCCACAATTCCTTCTGAATAATTATATATTTGATTGCACTTTTTCTATTTAAAAAACATTTTTATCTATTTCAGCCAGTCTTACTTTGGGGCAAATGAGTTTAAACATCATCAATTGCTATTATCACCTGACTTGGAATTAAAGGCCACTGAAACAAAAAAGGTTATTCCCAAGTTTATGTACTTGAGACTGCAAGATCATTTTCCTTTTCTTTACATATTCTATTTTTCCTTTCCCATCCACACTGTTCCCTCCACAAAAGACAAATTGTTGTACATAAACTAATTTAAAATCTTCCTTCTAGACTTTTTCAAAACCATATCCCCGGAATTTCAGGCTGGGAGGCATGGGGATGGCATTGCCCCCCAGCTGCCAGGTCCAAAGTGGGTGCGTTTTTGAGAGGGCACAGGAGTCTTTGACGCATAGGGATGATGCAGGACAAAGATCCCCATCGGAACCCACAACTAACGCAGGCGTACATGGAAAAGTGCCCATCAAAGTAAATGGATTCCTTATAGGCCCGGGACTGGTGCTGAGCAAGCGTTTGCAAGGCGGGGTGCTCCCCTTTGGGGTCTTCTTCCTCGGGATCTTGGGGGGCCTCCCTTTGGCCTGTTCAACTCGACTTCTCCTGGCACTCCTTTCCGAGTCGCTGCTCCCTTTCAGCGGTCTGTTGGCCAAGCTGAGGAGGCCAGTTTTGGAAGTGGGAGAACACCCTTTGGCCTGCTCGGCTCTGCGCAAGCCTTTCCCATCCACGTTGAACCCTTTGGCGTAGCACCACAGTTTCGATTGCCTGATAAGCCGGTCGAAATGGGCCCCTCTGCCTGACCCTTCCTCGGAAGTCTGCTGAAGCGCAGCTTCCTCAGTTTTATCCTGCTCACCGGCTCGGACACCATCGGGAATGCTCAGGAAGTCGGCCTCTTCGCCCTCCTGGCCTCCCAACTCCGACGCCTCCCTGACGCCTACGTTCTTTGGCTGCGGTCTCTCGCTAGGGCTGACCGGACCAGAACGCCGAGTCTCCGGTCTGTCCTGCTGAAGCTCCTTGGGCGTAGTGGTAGGAACCGGCTTGAAACTTTCCAAAGTGGAGGCGCACAACGTCCTGGCCCAAAAGATCAAGTTCGGGTCTGGGCGCAGTGCTTTGGCCACGCTGGGGAAGACTTGGGAAGATGCATTTTGGGGAGGGATCCGGGGAAGGGCGGCCTGTCTGTATCTCGTGCTTTGCACCGAGTCGCCACTGCATAGAGAACTACTTTCTGACCCGGAGGAGCTGCCGTCTTCGCTACTGCAGGAAGATTCGTCCTCCTCCTCTTCATCGTCTTCCTCCTCCTCCTCCTCCTCCTCCTCTTCTTCCTCCTCATCTTCCGAAGAATCGCTGGAACTTGCCGGGCTTGACGCGCCGCTGGAATCCGAATCACTGGAATAGCCAGCCGACGTACCTTGCCTCTTGGAGCTGGCGATAGAGGCTGAGCGACCTTTCTTGGCCAGGCAGCCGCAAGTGGAGCGCTTGGGGCGCCCGATCTCCGACTCGCGAGGCGGTTGACCGGTTCCGTGCGCCCTGACTGCCGAGTGTAGGAATTGCAAGTCCCCGGGGTAAGCGTTGAGGACGCCGGCCAGGAGCTGCGCTCTACTGTTCCGGCTATAGCTTTTGGAAGGCGGCGCAGCTTTCTCATAGCTCCTAGCAAATGGCGCTCCGAAGAGCGCTTCGCGCTTGGCGCAGCCGGCACCCAAACTGGCACGAAAGGCGTGGTGGTCGGATTCGTCATACGCCGGGAGTAATCGGGGCCGATCGAACAGGACCTCGGCTTCCCTCCTCTTGACTTTCCTCTTCCTCTTCCTCTTCCTGGGGGTTAAGGCCTTGCAGGAGGTGCAGAGGGCCTCCAGGTCAGTCTTGGAAATGAGCGAACACTTGACGGCGCGCATTGGCACCGACTGGATGGCTTTGAGAGTGCGCAGCTCCTTCAGGTCGCACCGGCGACTCTGGATCTTGAGGCTTTCCATTTTTTTGCTCACAGCGGCCCGAGGAATGTTCTTAAAAAGGTCGCTGAAGACCTGGGTCAGAGCAAACATCTTCGTGCCGTTAATCTGCAGGTAACCCAAATTGATGCCGTCGATTTCCTGATAACCAGCTTGGAAATCTCCATTGTAATCCATGGAAGTGGCAGCGGAAGCCGCAGCTGGAGCCATCCCGCAGGTCAGAAACATGTTTAAAATAAAAAATAAAAGGGAGGCAGGGAGGCCGCCAGTGGGGAGCTAGTAGAAACGGCTCTTCTTCCAACCTCTTCCCATTTCCCATCTATTCCCCCCTCCCAAATCAAGCACTCATCGCTGAGAGAAATTTTCCTTTCAAATGCATCTCTTGAGGATCCAGAGCTGCCTTTTCTTTTCCCAGCGCTTTATTCTCCACTCTGTAAACATCCCCAGAGAAGTCCAAAGGAGAAAAATGTCTTCTCTCGGGTTATTATTTTTCCTCCTCCTCCTCCTCCTCCTCCTCATATCTTTTCTTCTTGGAATCAAATTTGCCCGGGAGGGGCACCGAAGAAATCATCTCACCCATCTCTTAATCAGTCCAATCTTTACAAAAAAGCAGGCAAGCTTCTGAGCAAAGAATCATTCCTGAACAGCAAAAGCAGGGTTTTCAGGCCCCCCAGACACCAACCAAAATCCATGGCATGGCCACCTTTTTTTCCTGCTTCTTTCTTTAAGAGACTTGAGTACAGTATATTGTAGGAAACACCCCACTAAATAATTTTCTCCAGAGTGCAAGCTGATTGGGTACTTTAACCTGGTGATGTCACAAAACCCCCAACATTTAACACACACCCCTGTGTTAAACCCTCATATATATATACATACATATAAACCCGTTTCATTTAAAAGTCAATCCGATACTCTCCTCCAAGCTGGAAAGGAGTTTCATATACTCCATACTGGTGCATGTTCAGAGAAAATGAATGGGAATATTTTTATATATATATATCTGAACAGGTGTGATTCCATATATACATTGGCTTGTATTCCTGAAACTTAATCCTTCTTATCTTATTTTTGAAATTCACATCTGGAAGAAAACTGCAGTATTGCCGATTTTTATAGAATATATTTATTTATCTTTTCATTTTTCAATGAACTGAAGCATTTTCTCTCTGCACAATCTATAGGTATGTTTACATAAAGCTAAAGGTCTAGTTTTAAAAATAATATCTTTTTTTTGAAAATGATTTTTGTAATACGGGTGTTGATATTTTTATTAATTTTAGAATTTGCTCCAATATTTTTATGAATTTTAAAATTTGCCCCTAAATCTTTCTGCTCAAGAATGACATGCATTCATGGGTTTTGTTGTTGTTGTTGTTTTTTTGCAAAAATAAGCTTGTGGTAGAAGCAACAATTAGCCAAATTTTAAAAATTGATCTTCAACAATTACAGCCTTTCTTTAATATTTAAAGATTGAGAGAAGGCTCTTAAGGATCAGGGAATTCTCTGTTAAGATGTATAGATATCTAACTCTCAGAATAATTTTGTTTTTCATCACAGTTATTGCCATTATTATTATTATTATTATTATTATTATTATTATTATTATTATTATTTTCCTAGGAAGATTATTGCAGTTTTCATCAGAACTTAAATTCCAATCTTGCATACAATATCCTACAAGTAAGCTGCCTTAAATACAATTGGATAAACTCTTGGATAAATATTCATAGGATTATGTTATATTAAAAACATATTTAACATAATAGAGGAGGAAGCTGGGCTATGCCTGTCCTACATGACATGAAATGAATGGAAGATCTACAAAAACACTCAGAATGTGAGTTTTGTAAAAAAAAAAAAAAAAAAAAAAAAGGATTGATTTTCAGCTCTGTAGCCAAAGCCCAGAGCAGGATGTATACAAGATTTAAAAATGAAAAAGCCAATGTGAAAATAAATTCATTTGACCCTGAATAAGAAAAACATTGATTTCTGAAACTGCATTGAATGTCCTTTCATACTTTAAACCCCCTTAAAACAGAAGAAAATTAAATTCACATCTCCAGGTACATATCAGATTCCATCCATCCATAGGGACTGCCTGATTTATAGCTCACATCAAATATTTTACACACGTTCACCTTACCTTTTGCCTAAGTTGGTTTCTTTATAGAATTCTTCATAACATTTTCCTTCTTATAGTTGCCCTATACATCTTAAGTAATTTCTTGTGTTTGATAAGTACAAAGTATGCTTCTGTAAAATCTGTAAAATCAATTGCCAAAAGCATTTGCCATTGTGTAATATAAGTCTTTTAATCATCTATACCAATGATGCCAATCATACCAACTGAAATTGGAAGTTTTGGCTTTCATAAATATTCTACAAAATCTCTTCCCAGTTCTTCATTTTTAACATGAGGGACTTCTCATCAGATAGGCAAATATTCGACACTGTTTATGAATGTTTTCAGCTTTGATACCTATATGACTTATAAATCTGGTTCAATATGTATGGTATCAAGGATATACATTTTTGGCATATGATTCGCATTTGCCTCTATTGAGCCAACAGGTTGTTGGAGTTAAGAGGAGAAGAGGAATCATAGCATAATCCTAATTGAAGAAGAATTCTTGGTCATATTTACCTTGATGTAAGTTTTATGTATTTCAGTGAGCTTTACTTCTGAATAGACCTGTATATCCTGAACTTGCTCATTTCAGAGGAATTTATTTTAAGTAAATGGGTTCAGAATCACTAGAATGTTGTAACTGTAGGGATACTCAAGCAATGTTTTGTTCCAGTGAAGGAGAATGCATAGGTGATAGATTTAATTCATTCTATCAAGCCAGTGGAATTTCAATGTAGGACTGGATTTCTAAATGTGCATTTACTACATCAAGGGTGAAGAAGCCTGCATAAGAACGAACAATGTATTGTGTCACAAATGGCTGGAGCAGATGAGTTGTGCCCCTGTAGGAAATTGGGATGTTCAAGCTTGCACACTAGTTGCTCTGTATTCTGGAGAGTGTCAGTTCTGTTTCTCTAGCCCTTGTTCTCTATTGAAGTGATAGTCCATAATATAACAGGGCTCAACATACTTTAAACACATTTTACCAAGTTTATCTGGAGGTTAACCTACTGATGTCTGGAAATACATTGAATGAGAAAGGAGATGAAGATTTTGGAATTTTTGATTATACTTCTGTCTGTGCATTTATCTATTCCTTTTGCAATCGTTTTTATTCTTGTGTTTAGTAACAACTTTTTTTGAAACATACTCTGAAGAAAATGAGTTTTCCTTTGTACCGTAAGGGAATACACTATTAGTTGATCTTAATGTTGTCATTTTTACCTTTAAACTAATGCAAGTTAAGTCACAAAGTAATGCTGAACAATCAAAATGAGGATGCACAGCAAAATTTTTCACTAGAGCGTCCTAATTTTTTATTCATGATTTGGAAGAACATGTCCCCTTTTTAAGAATGAAATTAGTGCTGTGCAGTGCTGAACAAATCTTGCAGAGATTAAACATAAATTTGTACTCTTACTCTTTCTTTCTTTCTTTCTTTCTTTCTTTCTTTCTTTCTTTCTTTCTTTCATACCTCAGCTTTCTATTCTACAGAATGGCTGCTATTCTATTGATGTAGGTTTTAGAAAAACCACTGATATCTTTCAAAAGGTTTCTAGAGCTTGCTTTTTGCTATTTTTGGACATTATGAATATCTAACTATCTTCCTTCCCTACTGTAACAATGTTTACCCCAATGTCTTCTCTCCATAGGTAGACATTCGGCAAATATTACCCACATAGGATTCTTTTTGTCTTTAAAAATAATTTCATGGAGATTTGGTAAGAAGTTAAGTTTTAGTTGTTAAAAACTAAATCTTGAAAAGGAATCAAAATTGCTTGAGGGGAACCTTTACCTTTACTTTATAAAGTAGGCTACAAGCATCAAACAATATTTAAAGAAAATACAATAATAAATTTTGCATTTTGCGAATATTACAGTCTAAATCTCTTTTACAAACAAGATTTAAAAATCTATTAAAATATATTAACATAAAGCCTGACATAGACATCCTTGCCTCTGTCTTTTCTATTGAGTTCACTTAAAATTGTGATCCTATTAGTGCAATTCTGTCTGTGTCGTCTCAGAAATAATACTGAAATCATTGGGGCATACTCTAGGTAAATATGCATAAAATTGCAGCCTGAGTTTTCTTAATATGGAGGTATCGCTTTCTTGTAACAATATTTAGAAACTAACCAAATGATGGTGAGTAAAAATGCAATCTTAAATATTAAAGCTTACTATTATGTCACTTAATTGAAGCAATTCCTGGTAAGTGACAACTTTGTGAATCATACAAACAAACAGACAGAAGTGTAAAAATGACAATCATAGAGTCCAACATTTGCATGTATTTCTAATCATTTATGTAAATAACCCTCCAATTGGTGTTTCCATTGTTTCTAAATACATCCAAAAAACGTGGAAATCAGCAGAGGAAACCTTTACGGCATTGACGAAAGCTAAGAATTCTAAACAGTTTTAATTTCCCTAAGAAAATTCCTTCTATCGCTCTCCAAATAAAAATCAAACCCTAAAATTTAAACCGATCCTTTCATAGACAGAAAATATATGGATTCAGCTGTGTTACACCCATTGGTTTGAATTGTTGTGATTCTGGCCGATTAAAATAAGACTCCCCCTGCCTTTTCCCTCCCCTTTCTTTCTTTTCCACACAGAGGCGATGCTGGATGAGGGGAGGGGAGGAAGTGAAGGGCCTGTCTTTTTTTTTCAGAAGTGAGAAGATTCCTGATGTTTTTTTGTTTTCCTGGGAAGCTGGAGTTGTAAACTGCTTTAGTTTTGCAAGCATCCTGAAGAAGTGGAGTGACGCCAATTTGCTTGCTGGGCACAGTTCCTTGGGAAAGTCTTCTCCTCAAGGTAACTGGAAATCTTGCAACTTGTGCCTCCATCTCCCATCCACCTTGCTCTGCCTGGCATAACACATCTTCCCAAGGATGGCACCAATTGTCCTCCGCAAGACTGCCTTATAGGCACTTTGAGGGCCTCCCTCCTTGATGAAGATATCCTATAATTTATAGGTAGGAAATGTGAAATGTATTTTGGTGGTTGTAAGTTGAACATACTTTTAAAAGGAAGCAGAACACATTTCTCTCCAATGTCCGCTTCCTATCAACGTCCATTTAGCCAAAGAACGTGTACGGTTTTTTAATCAAAAAAATTAGTTTCAATATGAGTATAATTCTGCTGTTCTGATATCAGTTGATTGGAGATTGTACTGGCACACAATTCAGTAATCTACATTTTGTGTCTTACTTCCTGCAAAGGGTCAGAAAAGGCATGAAGTTGGCAGAGCTTTGTGTTTAAGCCTAAATCACATAGAACACAGAAGATGTTAAGAGCAAGATTGGGTTATTAAGCTCATATAATAAAAGTAAACTCAGCTGTGCAAAATTTGCCTGAAGTTTCATAATGCAAGAAAATAAATAGTTGGTGGGGATTTAAAATCCCCTAGTTCTTAAAATTAATCTGCAATTCCTTTTCCTTTTTCTTGAATAAACCAGGGCTTAGGCACACATTTTATTCATCCAATTTGGTCATTAGATCAAATCATTTGGAGAGAAATCAACACATGCTCTTCCTTAACATTTTCTGTATGAGATGTTTCAGATATTTAACCTAACAAGGTAACATGCAAGAGCCTGACAGACACACAATCTATACACAACTACTGAAGTGCTAGGGTTGCATCCTTCTGCTAAATGTATCTTTGTGCCCAGCCTTAGTTTTCCTCTGTGTATT